GGTTTTAATGATATTAGATCTGTGCTATCCCATTTAGTGATTATGATTGGTGAAACTAATGATATTACACCTGTGCTATCCCATTTAGTGATTATGGTTGGTGAAACTAATGATATTATATCTGTGCTATCCCATTTAGTGATTATAGTTGGTGAAGCTAATGATATTATGCCTGTGCTATCCCATTTAGTGATTATGGTTGGGTCCGGAGGTGTGGGCAAATCCGCGCTGACGCTGCAGTTCATGTACGCAGAGTTCGTCGAGGATTACGAGCCCACTAAAGCAGACAGTTACCGTAAAAAGGTTTTGTGATAGGCATACGTGTCCTCAATCACTGAGTACTCGTGATGTGCAATCGCTCGTTGCCTGTTGTATCAACCGCTGGAGGTTTCTGAACTTGTGCACGTTGCTAGCGTGAGCATCCCGTTTGTGTAGAGTTCGTGGGCGCTTGAATGTTGTACATCGCTCACTTGTCACCCTCCGGGTGCGCAATCGTGAGCTCAAGAATGTGTGATTTGTTGGCTTCTCTCTTACATATCTGTGTGAATGCATTGTGAATGCGCAGGATTGCAACCGGTTTCAACAATGCTCCATTGGTGTGTACTATTGTGAAGTGATAAATGTTCTTATCATGGCCCGAAATACATAAATATGCTCACCATAATGTTTTCTTTCGCCATCAGTAAGGTGTCCTGACGATACTATTGCATGGTGTGGGTCGTTGTAGAATCAGTTTCAAACTCGTATTTTAGATACGTCGCCTTATATATATATATATATATATATATTCTGTATGTAGGTGTATTTTTATATTTATATATATATACATATATTTGTATTTATATTAATGTAAATATATATATATATATTTCATATTTTATATGTATATATTAGTATATGCATATGTTGTCACGTATTCATCTCCATTGCTCTCTCAACCACAGGTAATCCTTGATGGGTCTGAAGTATCAATCGATATTCTCGATACGGCGGGACAAGAGGACTACGCAGCCATCCGAGACAACTACTATCGGTCAGGCGAAGGTTTCTTCTGTGTGTTCTCCATCTGTGAAGCTCAGTCGTTTAAGGAGACGGAATCGTTCAGGGATCAAATTCTGCGTGTGCACGACGATGAGAGTATCCCGTTTATCCTGGTGGGGAACAAGGCTGATTTGGAAGATCAAAGAGAGGTAAGAAACGTGGGGATAATCTACATATGGGATATAGTTGTCAGGGTATCAACTATTTATGTACTTCAACAGATGTGGTTATAGGGTGTAGAGCTCTCGACACACAATTTTATTCGCGTCGGCGCATTTTTTTTTCTTCTTGTTGCCCTGTTTCGCTTATTTATAGCAATACATGATTGAAAGTAGGTTAAATGATAGAAAGTAGGATATGTTTCGTATGCTATAATGGAATACGGCGGTATAGTGTGATATTTCAAACATAGCCACATATTATGCAACGCTGTACTGACCCCTGATTGTTATCTCCCATAGTATTAGCCATCCTCGGCGTCAAACGATATTCACCGATGCTTTCCGCGTACATCACACCTGTGGAGTATAAATATAATAACTTGTTATATACTTCATCGGTCATTGGCCAAAGTACTGACTGGTTACCTGCTATTTTTCCCACTTCAACGCACTAGACCTCAAAAGACGATGCTCTAGCGAAGGCTCGCGAGTGGAATGTACCGTACCTCGAGTCGTCAGCCAAGACGAAAATGAATGTTGATGAAGCTTACTTCGATTTACTCCGTCAGGTATGTATGGTCTCTGGCATTGCAAGTTCGTTGTAACCCGTCCCTCCGTGTATACATATGCCCGTGTGCTTTGTTGGGAAATGGGGCCGAAATTATCTGCAGTTGTGCATGCGAAAATGGCAATTTACTTTTTGTCGATGTATGTTTGTTTGCATGGTGGTGCATAATGGTGACCGCGACATGGCTTAAGTGGCGTTTAATTAGAGTCCGTTTTGTTTTGTTTTTTTTGGTAGTCTTGTGGCAAAACTAATGTGTGTTGTGTTTTTCATCCGTCGTTTGCATACATATTGAGGGGAGAGATATCAACGCGTATGCCTGTAAGCAGGAGACCTGTGTGTAAAGTATGGATACTTCAAAATAGGCTACACGCTTTGATCGCTTATTAATGCACGAGATCATGGCGAACTGATCACATTATTTTGTCTCAACACTGCTCACTTATCACTTCTTGGTACAGCGTCGATTTGGAACTACTATCTTTATCGCTCCTCGCGTGACACCGAGTATCTTTGTTTTTGAGAGAGAGATGCATATATATATATACCTATATATATATATATGTGTGTGTGTGTGTGTGTGTGTTGCACATTCTCTTACTTTAATATAGTGGGAGAGTTAAGACTCGTCACTCACCACGTTCCATGACTCGCTCTCCCCACAGATTTCGAAGAAGAAGGCTGCCAGCGCACAGGTCAAATCGAAAGAAAAGAAGAAGAAAAAGTGCATCATCCTTTGAACAAAGTCACGCGTCTACGACACACTACTCTAAAATATTTACTAAATCACTGAATCATATGCGGTTCCTTGTGGTTTCGATTCTTTTTCTACGAAGAGCGAGATGCTCGCGCATTTAGCATGTCAGTATACACAGTTCCAATTGAACTTTGTATAAGATTGGAATCTGCGTTATTTCTTCTTCGCGGTACGGTCAGGCATTTTTATTGATCTATTTGTATAGAAGCCCATTGAGACGCTTCCGGTGATCAGCTCATGTTCAGGATCCAAACTCCTTGATTTTCTAACTGCCGGTTCTGTGAGCAGATTTGATGTGGCCTTGACCTATTGATGTACTGGAATGGCAGTATCGCCACCGACTTGCCCCAAACGGCCGACAATATTTATTTTTTGTTCCTGTCAAGTATTAACGTAGACTTTGGAAGTGTCTATTTTTATCAAAACATGATTGTTGTCGTCGTTCGCATGGAGCTTCCATGTGACATCCTTGAACGGAATGTCCTCTTGCACATTAAGCGGTATCTCTACCACTATCATTTTTAGAAGGAGACAAATCGTTTCTCGCGGTTGGTGACTTACCAAGCATGACGTCTATACAGAAGTGCATATAACTCTAAGAATAGTTTTGCAGAATATAGCACAGTCGACCTTTAGGGTTTTAAGATTTATACGTACCCTTGAGGCTTTGAGGTTTATATGCACCCTTTGAGATATGGGGTTTATAGCGCATGATCATCTCCATTGTTACTTCGTTGGTGATTGCGATGATGGGCATTGACTTGAAAGTTCATAGTCGATGAATTCGGCCTCATATCGCGCCGAGTATCACCTTGCTTACAGGGTAGCAAACGCCCACCATATCACTATATCCCCATCGTAGAGAATACACTGGTCAATCGCACAGAGGCTCTAAGTTACGCACATATTCGCCATCTGCTCGGCGATGAACAACGCTTAGATTATCGGGAAGTTTACTGCTTTGTTCTCAGACAAGGACTGCTATACCTTCATATTCTTCTCAGACAAAGACTGCTATACCTTCATATTCTTCTCAGACAAAGACTACTATACCTTCGTATTCTTGAACACGATGTGCCTAAGCTATTACTCACTGTCGATTATATCTCAGCCATGCTGTCGATTTGCTATATAGGGACCACCCTGTCGCCGACATCTCAAACAGATAAATACCTTCAAGTTGTCGTGCAACCGGTCAGTAACGGGTCTTTTAAGTTCGGGAAGGGACTATCGAACTCTTCTATGCACTTCAATTTGTCTCTTCAGATGAGGATCATATGGCCACTGTATTTTTAGTCACGCCCCGCCAGGCTGTCGTATAGCCATCACTCATTGTTGTGCGAGTGGGGTCACGTGGAATTAAAATTAGACAGCCACGCCAATACTGTCATTCTCGTGTGTTTAGCATTCTCTCACATGGTTGCCAGCGATTTCTGAGCTGCTGTCGCGACGTGATCTTTTGCGCATTCTCAATGGCGAGTGTATTCAAAAAACTTTCGAGCGGACCGATGGTACTATTTGTTCTTGCGCTGTCGAAAGCGATATTTTGCTTTGGGAGAGATTTCAAACACGAAAAACCTCAGACAAGCAACGAAATGTTGCTTATTTGGTGAACCTACTCCATACCGGATGAAATCGCGTCGGGTATTCACACGGGGACACCTTGAATCTGATTTTGGCGTTGCAAAACTGTCACGCTGCTGAATCTTTTGCAGCTGCATTTCGTCGACTACGTTCCGAGTACTCTGGCATGAATAGCATACTAGGTATGCGGCTCGCTGTTGTCACCTTAAGCTTCAGGTGTTTGTGCAAAGACAGCCATGCTGGTGAATCCTGTGTGCCTCGAATCTATTCCATGTAGTTGTCTCAAAGTCTGACAACTGGATAGTCTGGTCTCTGCATTACATTTGTGTCAAGACATTGCATGAGTACAAAAGTCTTACATACCAGGCTAATATTCTGTGTGGAGATGAACTGGCGTTAGGTGCACATACTTACTGTTTTGCAAATACGATCGACTAATTTTGTAACTGGTCGAACAAGTAACTGGAATCTAAGTTTTTGATCTGCTGATGAATCGAATTTGGAGTGGACATGCATATCTATATTCCCATAACCTATCACTATGCACGTTGTAATATACATCTGGAGCAGATGAGCATCAACACTAGAGCATGAAATATTTTATATGTATTTGCATTCTAGTCATCTAAATGGGGTACGAAATGTTGCGATTTCAAACAAAGGTATTACTTCGCATATTCGCTACTGTATAACATACACTTACTTTTTCATGTGTATTGCTTTTACACACCGCCCTTGCGACGCCATAGACAGCTATCAATTACACACATATTCTTGTGCATGCTCGACCACATGTACACTCTTCACGAGATGATCAACAATTACAGTCTAAATACACACAGTCTCGAAACTACACTTTCATTTCGAACACATTGCCTACTTGTGTTTCCAATAGAGGTGAGCATTCCCGACTTTCGCTCCTTTGGAATCCACGGAAGGCTTGTAGTGATTGCTCGTATCGTTGTCGATTGTTGAGTTGGCGTCTTGGTTGTACCAGGCAAAGTAATCGATACCAGCATAGTATGCAAGCGAGCTGCACAGTGTTTCAGGTGCATTGTTCAACATGTATGAAGATCGATGGTCGAACTAACATCGGTGGTTGGTTGTACAGTCAGGTATTTCACATAGTACGTGATATGATAAGGTTAAATGACACTGTCAAACATTCAGTCTCCAGATGAGAATTCAGGTCGTACAAGCAACATAAAGAGAGAAAGGAAATAAAACTACAGAGGGGATGAGTGGCATACGACACCGAGCTATTTACCCAAATAACTATCTACATATATTTTATATATATATGTACATGTATATATGTATATATATATATATATATATATATATATATATATATATATATATATAATATATATATATATATACTAATATATATATATATATATATATAGTATATATATATATATATATATATATATATA